AGTGTTACCAAGCAGTGGGCTTGCTGCCTGATGCACATAGAAGCCAATATTATGACACCAGGTTTTGAGAAAAAAACTTTATTGCCAGTAAATCTGTAAGCAGACAGGAGGCACTAAGTCTCCTGGAAATAGACAAACCCAAATCTGTCACCCCAATCTGCAGTGGGGGGCAAATTTTATGGATTGGAGAACAGGTTACACCAAAGAACAGGTTTGAATTGGAAGAATTTCAAGACTTTGTTGAGAAGGCATGGGGAGGGGTCTTATCACCAAACGTTCCTAGATAATGGACCTATCCCTTTTGAAAGTGTTCTGTGTGCTAGGTTTTGGCCATGTTCCATCTTTTAGTTTGAGGAAGGTGGGACTTGAGGTATTATTTCTTAAGGCTGAACTTTGCTGCATGTGCTCTGGCTGCATAACCTGCAGATTCTTAGCTCTGTGCCTGCAAAATAATGACATTCTGTTATCAATAGGAAGATAACCAAATAAGACTGGCCAGTGGCTACCAAAATAACTGTTCCCCGTCCTCTTACTGCCCCTTCTGTAAATTTGGTGCTCTCCTCTAGGACACCTTTCTAATTGGATAAATTGAAGAAAGAGTTTACAAAGATACGGAGGGTGATGAAATTTGCATCATACATTTGCACCAGCCCTAAGCAAAATTGTGGACTCATTTTTTAGCCAGTATTTTTAGCCAGTACTGAGTTTAGCCAGTACTGATTTTTAGCCAGTACTGATCTGACAAAGGCCTTGTAGATAAACTCATTTTGTATTTTTCTTACCAGGGCTGAATTCTGCCAAATCCAGTTGGTTGTAATGGCAGCAGTTATTTACCACCTATTTGGTAGATAGGGTAAGCACTTAACCTTGCATGATCTTTAATGGTCACAAAAAAATTTACAATTGTAAATACTATTGAGTCTAACCCTAGAGCTGGTGTTCCTAACCACCATTTTACGTCCTACTTGATGTCCCTCAAGAGTTATTAGGGCCAACCAACATAGGTATTTGGAGGGAGGTATAAAAAACACTCCCTGACATCACTTTAACAGTTGCTTTTGTGAGTAAGTCAAATTTGGGCAGCAACCTTTTTCTAACAGAATCAGTAGAGCAGGACGAGTTGTCTGCTTTCCCCAGAACAGGGGCAAGTCCGTTGAGGACGGTGTTGCAGCCTGGGCTGCCTGGGAGCCGGAGGCTGACACAGAAGCCACAGGGAGCCTCTGCTTCCCTCCCTGCACCCCACTGGCCCTTGCAGCAGCCCCAGCACCACGTGTGGGACAAAATGGCCGAAACGAACAGTGGTGACAGGGAAACCCTGGCTCCTAGGATGGAGGTTATTCAGGCAAGGAGGCCAGCTCCGGGAGTTCAGGGCGAGGCCAGGACACCCACAGAGAAAGGAAACCTATTTCTTCCTCTTTCTGCTAGGATGTAGAAGGGATTGGCCTGGGAGGAGCTAGGATGTAGAAGGGATTGGCCTGGGAGGAGGGGGACTCTCAAGGTGTAAATCCCAAGTGTTCTTGAGTCTCAAGGTATTGCTTAGAACCCCAGCCTCGCGTATGGTCCCAGGACGACAAAGGCACATGGAAGTGAGGCCTGTAGATCCCTGGGACCATTTGCTGGGAAGGCAGCCACTTACGATCCAGTTGGGCCCGTACTGGTTTAGATATTTAACATACTGAAAAATCTTAGGCCTGAAACTAGCTAATCAATTTAAATTTGTTTCTTCTTGGATCACCTTGTCTAGTCTCTCTCTTCTCATGACCATAATAGACAATTAAATTGTACTCATATAATCCTGCTTTTACTTTTAGTTTTCCTTCAGTGCTTACTTCTTCTTCTTATATATTACTCTATAATATTATGTATTAGTATTTTATAATAATACATTATTAGATTATATAATACATGTTAATATTATATAAAGCATTAAAATATGTTAGTATAACACATGTAATAATATGTTGTTTCTTATTTATGAAATAGTCTCCTTTTCCTAATGTGAGATGTTTGGGTGTCTATTTTAAATTACCTCTTATGATATCTCAAGTGTCAAGAAAGATTTATGCTTTTCCTAAATAGTGATCCATGTTTTTTTTTTTTTT